AGAGGATGGCACCCGACAGCCTAGGAATTCTGCAGCCAACACTAAACACCACTGGGAAATCCTCATAGCAGATCCTATGACCATTCCAGTGGTGGTAAACATTCATCCCCTGCACCAGAGATCTGTTCATATCTTTTACACCAGTGACACATGTTATCTTCACGAACAGACCAATTATGGCTTCAGCTTTAAATCTTTATACACACACACACACAAACACACACACACACACACACACACACACACACACACATACTGGCATGGATTAACAGCTTTTTAAATCGTAAAAATGATTCAGTATATGGTGAAAAAAAATACCAGTTGAAGTACTATTACAGAATAATTGGTTATACTTCCTGTCGATAATAATGAATGGATAATCTTAACTACCTCAGAATCTGCCTATAATGATGCAGAGCACCCGTCCACCCAGAACACCCCTTTTTACCAATAATTACCATGTCTACAGTAATAACAGCGGTATCTCAGGAGTATATCAGTATCTACTCACTACACAAAGTGATTTCCGGATGACATTCTAGCAGGTCACACTGAAATATGAAGAGTACACCAACCTTCAGAACAGCATCTTGGTGGGAGATACTATTAGCTCTTTTCTAGATACTTTCGCTACATACCATCCATCCATACCAGAAACAACACTCCTCAGGATGATGGAAAACCTTCAAGTTTTCTGCATTTGGTGGCTTCGCCTTACCCTTCATTGTCATGAGACATCTAACTTGCCCATCACCATTTCTATGATCAGCCCACTAAGGCTCCACTCTTCCTCAGAACCTCAGCAAACTCCCAACCAACCACAAGAGAAATCCTGTGTGTGTCAAGGGAAATTTACTATATTCCAGGTGACATTAAGATCAGAGGTATTCACTGACCTACCAGAAGAATTATGGGCTAAAAGAGCAATTGCAGGAACCCACATTTTACCGTCAAAATACAAGGAAGTCACATTAAGCTGTGTTTAAGGCAAACCCAAGGAACTACTTTATACAACCTTAATCATAGTTTACATTCTACATGTTATTTACCTTTTTTGTGCTATTAACACAGTCCTTATAAGTATCTATTTTAATAGCTTCTTAAATCATTGATATACCATAACTGACTTAAAAATTCCCTCCCTGTAATGGAAGCTTTTTCTAATTTTTCTCTATTACAGATAGTGGTTCAGTAAACATCTTTACACATAAAGAATTTCTTCTTTTAAATTGTTTCTTAGTTATAAAATAAGTAAGTCCTACGGATATAATGTACAACATGGTGATAATAGTTAAAAATAACTATATTGTTAAAAAATACTACATTATATATTTGGAAATTACTAAGAGAGTAGTAAAAGTTCTCACAACAACCAAAAATGGTAACTATATGAAGTGATGGATGTGTTAACTAACCTTATTACGGTAATCATTTTGTAATATATTCATATACTAAATCATTAGGTTGTACACTTGAAACTTACACAATGCTATATATCTATTTTATCTAAATAAAAATTATTTGTTTAGGATAATTTCAGAAGCATGAACCTCTTAAAGAATATAAATATTTTAACTTTTTATAGGAATCGCTCAATGTATAGCTCAAAGGGCCATACCAAGCCACCATTCAAATCCCTGATGGTCCTTCTACCTCAAGCATACACTAACAAATGTTCCTCTAATACAAAATGGTTGGAAGTATAAATTAGGACCACTGTTTGTGGTGTTTCTAAAAAGTTAAAATGTACAATGCCCTTTGACCTTGACATTCCATTTCAAAAAACTGGTTCTTTGAAATAATGGCATATTTACCCAAAGAAAAATGAACAAGGATGCTCACTGCAGCACTGTTTGTGCTAAAAAAAACCAAAAAAAAACAAAAAAAAAAACCAAAAAAACCAAAACACCCAGACATTAATGTAACTATTCATTAAGGGGAGAATAAATTTTGATAAATCAAAATAATGTATATTTATTTCTGTTTTAAAGAAACTATATGCAGGTTATTTGCACCTATCTATCTATGCATTTGCAGTGTACAAAGAAAAAGTCAAGAGGATAGACCACTAGTAGTGGTAACCTACAGAGAAATTGGGGAAAAGGGGGTGATGGGATAGTGATGAAAGAAAAATTATATATTTCACTCCATAGGTTTGCATGTGTTTGGACTGTTTACAGTGACCAAATATTCATCTAATACTTTTACAATTAAAATAACTTGTAAAATAAAAGAAAGTACTTGAAATAATACAAACTTCGTAACACTTGAGTGATTGAAACCTATTATTTCCTACCTCTCTCTCTCTTCCTCCTTTTATTCTTTATCAATCTAAATAACACTGAACACTAGCAATGCTTTCCATTACTGATTTTATCAACGTCCATTGCCTTGTAAATGAGTGAAGCAGAATAAAAACCAGGTAGAGAATTGGTGCTGAGAAAGGAGAATAGATGTTTGGAAATGTAAAAAAATTAAGAAGAAAGAGACTGAAGAACCACATATTTTCAAATAATCTGTATTCCAAACCACAAAGCATAATAAAAGTGTACTTTTATGCACGCTGCCTTTTCATACTGGCTTTAACTTTTACAGTGGAACAAACGATTTGCTGCATTAAAAAATGCTGGATATTTATTTAAACCTGCAGGTCTCAGACTAAACCACTCTGCAGACCATCTGATTAGAATCACCTGTGGTACTGCCTGACCATCAAAAGCAAGGTCTTTAGGTACAACTCCAGATCTGAAGCTAGAGGGTGGATATCTTCAAGCTTCAAGGTTGACATATGAATCCCACAGTTTAAAATATACATTCTTAAGCATTCAGGAACACTGGGCATCATAGTAGTACACAGGAACAGAGTCATTCCATTATTGAAAAGAAAAAAAAATCTCATTTGGCTGTCTGAAAGACAATAAAGTCATAATTTATTTTCTAGGGGCACCTGGGTGTCTCAGTCAGGTTGGGCATCCGACTTCGGCTCAGGTCACGATCTCACGGTTTGTGAGTTCAAGCCCTGTGTCGGGCTCTGTGCTACAGCTCAGAGCCTGGATCCTGCTTTGGATTCTCTGTCTCCTTCTCTCTCTCCTTCTCTCTCTGCCCCTCCTACTTGTGCTCTGTTTCTCTCTGTCTCTCAAAAATAAATAACTGTAAGAAAAAAAAATTTAATAATAATAATTTATTTTCTAAAGATTACGCTTTCTAATCTAGACAAAATACAATCCGATTTAGATTTTATATACCATTCAGGCAGGGACTGTTTCTATTTTGATCATAACTCTGAGCCCAGCACCAATGTCTGGCATGTACTAGGCACTCAGTAAATATCTGCTGACTTAATAGGATTTGGACCAGGGAGCTCCTCACGTAAACACAAAAATTAATTTGGATGAACTGGATGTGGCCATTGGGGGCAGAGAATATGAGCCTGGGAAAGAGATAAGATGGATTCCATGCAGGGCTCTGCAAATGGAGGAACAGGATCTCATTCAGCCACTTAACATTTGTTAGTCTCATATCCCTTTTCTATAAAATAAGGGAGCAGATTTGGGGAAATTAACTGCCAAGGAATCATTTAAATTTAGCCTCAAACATTGAAATTGAGATTCTAGAGTAGCTGAAACACTCCTTTGATAAATGTCCTTGTGTGCTCTCATGTAAAAGCTAAAACTGTAAAGACAAAGAAACATTTTGAAATGATGGATATTACCTTCACCACTGATTTGTCATTCTGTGATTAAGTGTGAAATCACTGGCAAGAGGACAATCCATTTGAAAGCAAAACAAGAAAGATAATGAGTAAAAACAGTAAACCATCAGTCTGCAAGTTTTGACGGTTGTTAGTCCAAATTTCAACATCTGTTACTTAAAATATTTAGGAATGGTACCTGATATAGTTATTATTGAATGTGGGGCATAGTCACCAAAAGAAAAAAAAAACATCTTTTTGAGAAAGTACTCACAATAGCTTGTAAAAAACTCACAACCACAGGATGGTCAATCACCCAAACAGAGGTTCTAAAAGACTGAAAAGACCTTCTGAGCGAAAAGACGTTAAATACAATATGTGCCAAATTTAGAAAAGAGATCTACTTACTAATAAACATGACCTTCATTTATAAAGCTGCAAATCAGTCTTAACTGCAGCAAAGGGTCAGGGAGAGTAGGAACGAATATTAATCTGCATGGCCATCTCCAGAACTCTGGTATGTTAGAGCAGGTCAGATGTCTAAATGTGCATAAGACGCTCCCTAGGCTGAAATGGGAAAAACAACGAAGGGTGCCCTTAGGATTCCAGGAGAAAAACTCATGAATCCTGAAGAAAACCAAAAGTTACTCCAACCTGTGAGAAGGCAGAAAGTCACCCTAAGATGTGGGAGGTCAAGAGACCGGTCCCTCAGCTCGTGTCAGGAAAAAGTACTTTTAAGTGATGGGAGGATGGGGGCTCCTCAGTTACCCTCTTGCCCAGTCCGTGGAACACCTGTTCCAAGCCCTAATGGCAACAACTGCTCAACGCACAAGGTCATCTACTGGAGCCCTTGAAAGAGATGCGTAAAGGGGCGTAAAAAAGCTTGTCCCACCTTGAAGAACCCAGTTCCAGTGAGCAGCACCAGGGCATGCAGGCCAGAGGAAGAAGCTTTGAGGGCAGCAGGCTGTGAACAACCATAAGCAAAGAAAGCAGTAAAATGGGGCCCCAGCCCTGCTTCAACACCGTTCAACGGAGCAGATGTGGCAACAGACGAAGCAGCAGGAAACGTGGGTCAGAGCATACAACTAACAGCCACAGAGGCAAAGGAGGGCACAGGGGTAATGGCCTGCATGGAGTCTCGTGAGCCAGCTCAGCATCCCTGGGAACTGGAAGCAATCTCACTTGGAATCCCAGGACCAAGAGTAGTAGGGGGTCAAAAACGACTGCAAATGTCACTCACGCCCCAACCATGCTTATTAAGGCTGGTGTAGCGGGCAAAACAAGGCTTAGGATAAAACTGTCCACTCACCTTCTTCCGGAGCCATGGTGCTTTGGACAATTTCATAAAAGTCAAATGAGGCTTAAAACCCCTGTTTTCTCCTGCCAAGATGCCCTTTTCTTGAAACGTCCTTTTTGCAGTCTCTAAAGAAAATAAAAACCAAAAAAATGCTACTGCAACACATAGCTACCTTTCATTATAAAAATGGCAGTTCAAAAATTAACAAATTACTCTATAATGAAGATTAAATACCTGTATGAGATATTATTTTTTAAGAGAGGAAAAACCACAATGTGTGTAACAAGTATATTATTAAATTTGCAGAGATTTCAAATTTTAAGCACGCAAAAGCAACCATTTGAAAAGGAAACATTTAATAAAACAAAAAAAATTTGTCTGATATGTTGATTTTCACTGAATATCCCAGTGGTATCCATGCTCATAAAGAAGGACCAGCTTATCTGTAACCCATAATATCTAAAGACCAAGATGGAATAAAAGAAATCAGATTCACCCTCCCATCTGAAACAATAAAAGGACAAGGTACATAAAACAATGGTTTGCAAGACACTGTATGTATTGGGCAAAAACAGGTCAGTGATCTCTTAGAGATGAAAAACAAGGTAAGCCCCTTAGGGTTAGAGTTAGGGGTTAAGGGTTAGGGTTTGGGGTTAGGGTTAGAAATAGTGTTAGGGGTTAGTGTTAGGGTTAGGGGTTAAGGGTTAGGACTTGGTGTTAGGGGTCGCTCCTCATCAGGGAAATACAAATCAAAACCACACTCAGATATCACCTCACGTCAGTCAGAGTGGCCAAAATGAAAAAATCAGGAGATTACAGATGCTGGCGAGGATGTGGAGAAACAGGAAATCTCTTGCACTGTTGGTGGGAATGCAAATTGGTGCAGCCACTCTGGAAAACAGTGTAGAGGTTCCTTAAAAAATTAAAAATAGACCTACCCTATGACCCAGCAATAGCACTGCTAGGAATTTACCCAAGGGATATAGGAGTACTGATGCCTAGGGGCACTTGTACCCCAATGTTTATAGCAGCACTCTCAACAATAGCCAAATTATGGAAAGAGCCTAAATGTCCATCAACTGATGAATGTATAAAGAAATTGTGGTTTATATACACAATGGAGTACTACATGGCACTGAGATAGAAAGAAATATGGCCCTTTGTAGCAACATGGGAGGGGAGGTTGGGTGATGGGTATTGAGGAGGGCACCTTTTGGGATGAGCACTGAGTGTTGTATGGAAACCAATTTGAAAATAAACTTCATATAATGAAAAAAAAATAGTGTTAAGGGTTAGTGTTAGGGTTAGGGGTTAAGGGTTAGGGCTTGGGGTTAGGGTAAGAAATAGTGTTAGGGGTTAGTGTTAGGGTTAGGGTTAGAAGTAGCGTTAGGATTCGTATCAAGCTTTGCTAAGTGGTAAAAAATGGGTTTAGAGAGGTGGGCAGGAGCATTAGAGACATGGTAAAATCTTCAGATTGTATTCTCAGTATGGCGGGAAATCCTGGGGGTTTTAAGCAAGGGAAATGTACGTATGAGAATAACTCTCTTTATTCATCTCTATTTCAACTACAATGTACACTTCTTCCTCTGGAAGAAATTTAATCTCAGACAATCCAATGCTCCCCTCTTTTTGTAGGACTGTAGTTTAGCTGAATAGAAGGTAGCTAATGGGGTGTCATACATTTTAGGAGGGGATGTAGCATCTGGCTCTTGGCTCATCATCCGCAACTCCTGAGACACGCACCATGCTTGGTTTTTGTAGTGGACCCTCCCTCATCCCTATATAATGACTGCAACTTCCCTTCCACGTCTGGTGTGCAAGATTTCATTCTGTTGGTCACCATACCCTGGCAAGCAGGAGTTCACTAACCTGTCTGAGCCCCTTTCCCACTTTCTTGCTATTCTTGAGCACGCAAAAATAGCATAATTACCCAGGACCAAGGAGGAAAGGGCCGAAACCCTGTAAGACCACCCATTCACACAATACCACCCTCACTTCACCTCCACCACCCCTCTAGAAGCACAGGGGCTTCTTCCTTGCCACACCTATAGGCACACTTCAGGAGCAAAGCACAGGGTCACCCCTGCTCTCGGACTCATGCGAGTTTCTGCTCTTCCAGTCAGGATGATGGAGGGGCAAGAACTCACACTCTACCTTGGGCTCTAACTCTCTTCTTTGCCTGACCCTGGGAGTCTTTTCTAGCATCAAAGCAGGAAAAACTTACCATTATGTTTAGGTGTTGAACTCCCAAAGACTTTCCTCAATTTTTCTTGCTATATTCTATTCTGTGAACATGGGTGCCACTGTCGGGGTGGGGGGAGGTGGGGAGAATAGGCACAGAACAAGGCATATAAGAAATACAAGGAGAGGGACGCCTGTGTGGCTCATTCAGTTAAGCCTCTGACTTTGGCTTGGGTCATGATCTCACGGTTCATGAGTTTGAACCCCACATCAGGCTCTGCACTAACAGTGTGGTACCTGCTTGGGATTCTCTCTCTCTCTCTCCCTCTCTCTCTGCCCATATCCCCACCTTGCTCTCTCTCAAAAATAAATAAATAAACTTAAAAAGAAACAGACTTAGAGTTAAAATATTAAGCCAACTCATACACAACTGCCATTTTTATGGGTCAAAAATAGTCAAATATTGGCAGTGTCTGATAGCTTAACACATACCATGGTGGACTAACTTATTAAGTTTTTAGGATCGGACTGAAGGGATTAGGACGTATTTCCTAAGTCTTCAAGTATTTGAAGAATTAGCACGTAGAAGAGTTACTGGTAGCAACTCGGCAACATGTTCGTATCAACCCAGAAAACAGACATGGCATGAAGGTGCGAAAGCAAAAATTCATTTGTTCATTTATTTACTGAGCACTTCCCAAGTATGTCAGGCACACTATCTGCTTGAGACAGCAAACGTGTCCCTGCTTTCAGAGAGCTTATAGTCTCAGGGGACAGATTTGGGTCCAGTAAAGAGAAGGACTTAACAATGTTCAGAATTATCAAAAACTACAAAAGATATAAAGAAAGGAGTTTTGTGAAGAGAAATTAAAAGAGTAGGCATCTCTACTGTTCATTACTATCTATATTAATTTACACTTATGTATTTTACTTGATGTAACAATCTTATTATCAACTGATTCTAAAGATAGAACATTTTCCTATTTACTGGTCTCAGTTACATTAAATTTTGACCCAACAGTTTTCATTATTCACTGGGTGTAATTTTTTTTTTTTTTTTCAGAGAGAGAGAGAGACAGAGACAGAGAAAGCATGAGCTGAGCTGGGGAGGGCAGAGAGAGAGGGAGACAGAATCCCAAGCAGGCTCCTCACTGTCAGTGCAGAGTCTGATGAGGGGCTCAAAGCATGAATCATAAGATCATGATCTGAGCCGAAATCAAGAGTCAGACACTCAACCAACTGAGCCACCAAGGTGCCCTAGGCCTTAAATTTTTGATGATAGGTATCTATTTACAATACTGTTTTAAATAATATGTCACAAAGCACATATAATTTGTTACTGTGTTTTGTTCAGTACAGTATATCCTCTAGGTAGACAGAAATAAGAAAAAAAAAGAAATTGTTGTCTTCTTTTTGAAAAGTATTTCTTAGTGTTGGTGTTTTGCTCCTAATAGCAGTATAATCTATTGCTTAGCTAGACTACAGGGTAATGGTTATAGATATATCATTCTTGAGGGACACGTGGGTGGCTCAGTCGGTTAAGCATCTGACTCTTGATCTCTCAGTTAGCGAATCTGAGCCCAACGTCAGGCTTTGCTGACAGCACAAAGCCTGCTTAGGATTCTCTCTCTTCCTATCTCTCTGCCCCTCCCCTGTTCGTACACGCTCTCAAAATAAACGAACATTTTTTTGAAAGGTCATTCTTGAGATGAGAAGAGTTTTTGCCAGTGTGAAAACCACGTGTCATTTTTCATCTATGCCAACTCACATTCTGAAGAGAAGCTTATGAATAATTTAAGAGATTGTTCAATTCCTCCTAGTCCACAGCCATTCCTCCAAGCACTAAATAGAAAACCACACAGCAAATATATCAGACACCCTTCAAAAGCCAACTAAGAACACTTCCTAAATAATACGACATGCCTCATAGCTAAAGGTGCAAAATGTCCGAAGAACAATTTCTTAAAATGTATTTAAACACTAGGAGACTTCACTACATAAAAGAAAACTGAAATGATATTTCATTAAAGAAACAATATTTTGTAATCCTAACAAATACAGTTTTCTCTATTTGGGGGAGGGGGTTGCTTTATTCAACAAACATTTATTGAGTATGCTAAGCACTAGGAAGTTTTATCTGTTTTTTAATTTTTTATATATATATTTATTTTTATATAGGACATTTTATTCAAATGAACTCTTAAGTATGTAGCAACAATAAATTTATAGCTAAAATGTAAAGAAATTGCTAAAGTTGTCTCAAAGTAAATGTTGCAACAGACCAATTTTAATAAAATCATGTCTTTTTAACTAAATACACCTTCTTGTAAATTTTTTTCCTTTTTTCCTCTTTTGCTGTTTTTACCCTTTTGCTAACATTGTAAGGGATATTTATATGATAGCATGATCTATAATTTGAGAATAATCACAAAGAGGTTTATTTTTTTATTGAGGTATACAAAAAGTTTACTAATAAGAGTAGTCTAGGGGCGGCTGGTGGCTCAGTTAAGCGTCCAAGTCTTGATTTTCGTTCAGGTCATGATCTCACATTCCGTGAGACTGAGTCCCGTGTTGGGCTCCATGCTGACAGCGCAGAGCCTCCTTGGGATTCTCTCTCTCTCCCTCTCTCTCTGCCCCTCCCATGCGTTCACGCAGCACACGTGCACTCTCTCTCTCAAAATAAAAAGAATAATTTAGAATACTAAATGTAAATTACATAGTCCTAATAAATTCTTAAGTTTTAATATTCTATTTCAGATACAACAGAAATAAGTAGTTGGATTTCAGCTTTAAGAAGACTGATTTGTAATTAGACAATACACAATACAATAGGGGGTGATAAAGTCTCTCCATGCTTTCTAATTGGAAGATACTTTCTTACACTATTTTAAGTTACAGTAAATCTATGTCACATATAGTATGAAAAATCTCAATAAAATTTTAG